CTTAGTAATTTCTATCCAGTGACATACCGATGAATTCAAAAAGAAGATGAATTATTGTATACGGTTCGGTCACTCGTTATGGTCCGCAGTCAGTTGCCAGCGCAAGTGGTTAACCTCTTGCGCTGCAATGACGTGCTACGCACGTCGAAAAGTTTCCCTCCCAAAATTGCAATATTCTCTCAGTTTTAAGTATATTTAAATATAACCCAGGCAAAACGAATAATATATTTATTACTTCTTAGTAATTTCTATCCAGTGACATACCGATGAATTCAAAAAGAAGATGAATTATTGTATACGGTTCGGTCACTCGTTATGCTCCGCAATCAGTTACCAGCGCAAATGGTTAAAAGAAGAATGCCTTGCGTTACTAGTAGGTTTGTATAATAACTGGACCGCGGATGTTTGTGCGGATGTTTAATATTTTTTAGGATGATAATTAAAAACATAGGACTGGATGGAAAATTGTTTCACACAATAAGTTGAATCTAACAAGGAGTATTGTACTTTGTATATTTTATGTTTTTATACATTATATATCTTATATATTACTTATGTTGCATGCATTTTCATATGCCCAAATCTTCCATAAATACATAAAAATCCGCAATCCAACAACAACTCTTTTGTTACTACAGGATGGACCAAAAATCACTTCCTACTAAAATAAATCCGCAATTTTTTTATTATATGTTTAAAATAACAATTGTAATTAATAATTTTTGGAACGTAATTTAATGGAAAAAATCACGTTCGAACATAAATTTAATTTAAAATTCATAAAATTAGTTCTTCCTTATATTTTATGGGAAGAAACTTATGGCTCACTCTGTATAATTCAGTGATTAACCTATAATTACAATATCAAAGGATATCTGTGGATTTAACTCACTGTCAAAGTCTTTCACGTTCGTAACTCTAAACACAGGAAGGAACAGCGTTCCTGCTGTCGAGAATGCTACTATGCAATTTCCTTGTGAGCGTAATTCAGAAACTGGTTTCCTCTGAAAATAATGCTTCCCATTCGTGTCCCAACGCGATTACGTGAGATCATGGCTATCGCGAGTATCGACTGCTCTGGTTGTTTCCACGGAAGCTGCGAGAGAGCCGGTGTTTCCAGTGAAAACTTCAGAAATTTCGCGTCCCACGTTCACGCTTCATCATAAAGCAATAATCGGATTCTGAATAATCGTGCGAGTTGCGAGATTTTCTTAACCTTGAGGAACATCCACGCTTCGCGCAGCTTTCTTTCACGGGAATACATGCTCAGCGCGATATATACTATATACATTGCTTCGATTTTACAATTTTCTTGTTTATTTATTTTATTTTCTAATTCATTAATTTTCTTATTATATATATAGTATATAAATTAGAAAATAAATAAATAAGAAAATTGTAAAATCGAAGCAATATATATATATACATATAGCTTTGACTTTACAATTTTCTTTTTTTTTTTCTCACATTCCACGAGTTGATCATCGTCGAATGAATCGATTATGGATAATTTATTGAGAACGTAGGATTATAATGATATAAAAAACGGAGATTGAAAATAGGAAAATGGCACGCTCTGTTCACCGACGATGAATCAGACTTCCTTTCTTTTTCTGCCCACCTCACCTTACGACTAAACAGGTTGCATTAGAATTTCATGTAAACTGTGGTACTGCGTTTACTTTCTCGCGAATTGCAGCTACGAGACTACTAAACTCTTGAGAGTTCACTGTCTTAAAAAAAAAAAACTCACGCTGTTACTGCACTGAAAAAGAAAGTCATACGCGAACAGGGTCAATAATCTTTAAAAAAAAAAAAAAAAACAACAGTTTCAGAAACATTAACCTACCTTAAAGTATAATAGTATTAGCTTTTTCAAGGACCCAGAAGTCACTGGCGTTAAAAAACAGACCATAAACGCCAGGGAATGAATTCGAGTTTCAATTATACATATGTAATTCGTCGATAAATGAGCAGAGAAGTGACACGGAGAGAAAGAACGAAGGGATCGCGGAGGCGCGTGCAAGGTACAACGCGAATCAACGGCATGTATAACGGGCTCACGATCCTTAATCGTTTGTCACGTGCGTGAAAAAGAAAAGAAAGAGCCTGGAGAGGCCCATCGGGGCCTGTCCAGGTCGTTCCAATCTGCTTTCACATCGTTGTTTCGCCACTAACGCGTTAGCTCGCCTCGGGCGCGGGAACATCGCGCGTCGAGCCTCGGCGATTTCTTTGACATAGAAAGGAAAACGCGGATCCAACGCGAGGCCGCTCAATGAGAATCGCCAAGCGGTAGAGTCGAACGAAAAGCATCCCCGTGATTGGCTCGTCACGCGTACCAATTGTCACGATCGCAAATCTCGTCCGAGTCTCGGTCTGAATCGAACGAGTCAACTATTCCGCGGCAATTAAACTGTCTTTCTTCTTTTTTTTTTCTTTTTTTTCTGGTGAAACTTAATATCGCGATGAAAGTGCGTTAATTAGCTAGGGTTTTACTTTTCTTTCGTTTCGGCAGGTTGGACGGACTGACAGTGCTTCTTCGCGACAATGGGGAATGAGTTCAGATGAAAGAGAGATTCGCAAGCGTGATTAAAGACCGAGTAATTAGCTTTTCTGCTCGCAGAAATTGGGGTCTAGGTCTGATCTATGTTTACATGAACTCTTTTTGTATCCACTTATGTCGAATGTACATTTCTTTTTGTGTCAAAGTTCCCTGTAGTTGGAGATCTAGGAATTTTGGAAGATATTGTAAAAATCTTTAGACGAAAATCTTCAGACGTTCTCGAATGGTAAAATTCTTCACTTTGAAGCTTTCGTTTGCTAAAAGACGAAATGCAACGTGCCAAGTTTAGCTATACAATGGTGAGGTGACTACGCACTTAAAGGGACAAGTACATTTGCACGTTTGCCAACGTTGCGAATGATAAAGTGCAAAATGTACCCGTGTGGGCGGCAGTGTTGTGACCTCTGCGCACGTCAACGCGTAGGATGGTGATTTTCTTCTAAAAATCAACCTGGATACAATCTCAACATAAATTGAGAACTATAATACTGGTTTCTATAATACCAGGAGATCTAACGTACCAGGCTCCTCGCGTTTAGATTTATAAAAAAATATCTGATCGTATTGAGTACATTAGCTTGTCATACGATGCGTTATTATAGCATGCAGAAACATTTGAAATACTTGAGTTGGTACTTTTTGCTTTCCAAAGACACCTTCCTAGAATCCAAATTACTGGAAAAAATTTGCAGAATTTAACAGTTTTCGACGTAAAGAGAAAGAAAAATTCAAGAAAATAGATATTTCTATATATTACAAGATATATATTTATATATTATATATAATAACATATATGTATAGTACAACATTGCCGAATCTTCTAATAGTACTACGCAGTTTTCATCCTCGAGCAAATTATCATAAAATATCTCCTTAATCATTAGATTTAGGAACAATGTAGCTTAATACTTTTCGACTTGAAATTTAATATTCTTTCGATTTACGATGAGAAAAATATATGATCCAATTGAAAAAATGGAAGAACGACCGTGGAAATTTCTTGGAAACCCCTCGACACACACAAAAAATTGATACGCCATATTTTTCGTCCCTTAAAACCATGCAACTTTTTTGTATTAAATAATTTTTCATTAGTAATTTGAAAGTTATTTCAGGCGTGCAAGTTACGTGAATCAGCCTGTATAAAAGCACAGATTGCTGGTATACACGTTTTACTCGTTGGTATTGCCAGCATGATCTGCCTCGGTAGAATTTGCGTTTGCTTCTTCTTCTACTGCTGCAACCGGTAGCGCGAGATATAAATTTGTCCAAAGCAAAAAAGGAGCACCGAGTTCAATGTCCTCGCGAGTACGACGCAGTAATTAAACGCTCTTTATCGCGGCACGAGTTAGTAAAAAAAAAAAAAAAAAAAAAAAACAGAACATGTCGTCTCACCGTTCACCGAAGAAACACGTTCCCAAATGTAACGTTTCGGTTTTGTAAACGTGGCAACTTTCAACATTGGTTGCGCAGTTGAACCAGCCGTCAAATTTTCACCACGTGAATAGATCGCCTCGCTTCCATTACGTAATTTACTATTCGAACGACATCCTCGTTCATCCTTTGCAAATTTTATCTGTTTATAACGGTTCTGAAAATTTACCGACAACTTCGAAAGGAAACGAGATTTTACGGAAATCGCACTGGATAGGATTTTCCTTTCGGTCTATGTTTCTTTCCGATTATCTCAGCTTTGCGTAATTCGTTTGCTCCGTGCTTCGAGCAATTCATCCGGTTGGGTATTCGAGAGGTGAAACGAAGAGTCCCGTTATTCCCGCACAGGGAATATAATTCCGTGCGCCCAGCTGAAGAACGCAGGGGATATAATTTCTCAGCTGTTTTGAGCATTCCACTTGTGTAATCACCTGCTATGCGCGTTGAGGAATCACGCGGCCCCGGAAATCCTCTGTGCAGTTTACTAATTTTCCAAAACAATTTTCATCTCTCACGTCGAGATCTCGCGTCGCTCATTTTTCGATACCGATCACTTCACTTGCAATTAGTGGTTCAAAATAATTCAAAGATTCGATTTTGTTGATACTGTACGATTGGGTGATCTTCCGAGCCTCATTGGCCAACAAAAATTTGTTGAGAGCAGCACATAGTTTACATATATATATTTTTTTTTTTTATCAGTTCAATATAATCTATATAAAATAACTATAACTTTTGTAGTGAAACGATACGTTGACTAGATTATATTAATTGAAAAAATATGAAAACTTTTCACGAGAACACTGAGCCTATTTTTTAGAGATTTCGTCAATACCTGACGTTTGGTACAGTCTCAAGATTCTCGTTTAAAATTTTTGTTCTTATTTTATTTATATTTTGTGCGCTTCATGTGGGGAAAAAAATCTGCTCGCAAGTGTAAATACTCCCCAAAGGGGACATTATAAACGTTCATGGTTAAAATTATTTAAACAACAAAATTCTTATTCGGTTATTCCAATTTTGGTTGTACACCGCGAGTTGGACACGCCTACTTGAGGGACTAATATGGCGAGGAAGGAAAGAGAAGGTCGAAGAATCGACCTTTGTATTGTAATATAATATAACGCGTCATATGCGTTCGAGTGCAAGGACGTGTCGTTCTTACTACCTGTTCCTTTGCAACTCGTGCCCTGAATCGATCTTCCGGTTATGTCACAATTTCTTCAATGGAAGCGCAATTATACCTTACGACCGCAATTCCACCGGTCACTCGCCAACGTAATAAACACATGCACTCGTACGAATTACACGAGTTACAGTCGTGTAACACTTGTGCAACGTCGGAGGGAGGACCTCCTGTCGTTAGCCCATTTCTCAATCGACCTCGACGAGTACGGTCATTATTGTCCCCGAGAACGATAGACATTGACAGTCGATTTTATCGTTCAACTTGCGAAAGCTACAAATTCCACTTATTCCCTTTTGACGCAAGCGGTATAATACTCGAGCTCGATGATTCAATCAATTACACACGTTGCTTGATGGTTGGGTTCGGTTTCGAACGTTGTAGAAATTATGCATACGCGAGTCATCGACGAAACTGTTGTTAACACTAGGACTACAGACGACTAAAGCATAAAATTTCCATCAGAGACATCAAAGTGAAAAAAAAAAAATAGAGAAACTTTATGGTAACAATAACTTGCACAAGCTTTCATTTATATATCCTACTTTAGGAAAAATCATTTACATTTCGAAAAATGTATTATTTCATGTCTACAAAATTTCTAACAGAAATTATAAATTGGTCATTTTGACCACTTTGGTGGTTCTAATGTTAAAACTGACGATATTCATCTCATTTGAGTTATTCTGAAATATTTATAGAAACAGAAACAGTTTTTATAACATTATCTAGTTTCAGTCACTTAACACTAGAACTACTAACTACATTAGTCGGCATAAAAGCATAAAATTTCCATCAGAGACATTACAGTGAAAAAATAGAAAACTTTGTAGTAACAATAACTTGCACAAGCTTTCATTTATATATTTTAAGAAAAATCATTTAAATCTCTAAAAATGTATTATTTCATGTCTACAAAATTTCTAACAAAAATTATAAATTGGTCATTTTGACCATTTTCGTAATTCTAATGTTAAAGACAATGCATTGATCATTAGGTTCAGTTTCGAACTTTATAAAAATTATGCGTTTTAACCTGTTGCGTTAGTAACTGGTTCACGGACCATAACGAGTGACCAAACCGTATACAATAATACAATAAATCTTCTTTTTGAATTCATCAGTACATCATTGGATAGAAATTACTAAGAAGTAATAAATTTATTATCTCTTTTGCCTGGATTATATTTCAATATACTTAACACTGAGAAATTATTGCAATTTTGGGCCAAATATTCTCGACATGCGTGGCACGTCATTCCAGCGCAAGAGGTTAACGCAAGTAGTACAACATTCCAGCCTCGATGTTTCAATCGATCACGCATGTTGCTTGATCATTGGCTTTGCGATTGTAGAAATTATAAATACACATCGATCATCAAAACATCGGCAAAAACGTCATCAAGGACAAAACGGGGATTTCCAGCGTAAGCGTGAAACGCGAATTCAGCGGTTTGATTACGAAACTTTCGTCGCGATTTTCGATTGCTCAATGAAGCTCGACGGTAACGTAACCTGCATTCTGCCCGGGTTCTCACGTTATGGCGTGTACGTAGACCTAAATCGCGGCGTGTCTCCAGACAATGATACATTGACTTTACAAACATTGGCCCACGTATCGGATTATTTCCCGGCGAGAAATATATAGGTGATGAATGGACGCGGAGGTTTGTCCAAGAGACCAACGACTAATAGACTGTGTCTCATTCCAGCAGGTAGACAGATAATGGAGACAGGTAGTCTTTGCACAACGACAGAAATACGTCGCGAAGAGGTAAAGGTTTATTGTTGAAAACGGCATTCCGATTGTCCCTGCAACAACTCTGGTATCCTTGCAATGCTCGGTTATAATGCCAGGTGTGGCTTTCAGGTTTGAACTTAATATCTCTTTTTTATTTATTTCTGGTGCTCCGTTCGAAGGAAAAAAAACTTTGATCAATAACGAATTCTAGAATTTCGTCGGACAATTGTATTCGATCGGTAATACGAGAGAATACAAGAACAACATCGGTGCGTTTTTTTTTTTGCCGATGTCAGAGGTTTCGTAACAGTTAAACTCGTGTCACAACGAGCAGCAGACATCAACAGGCATCGTGACGATTCGTGTTTCGACTAATGACACTGAAATCAGTCTTGCGTTGAGTAACAAGAGACAAATATGACAATGAACTAATCGGGACGATTAAACGATTCGTGCAGCTTCTTGAAGAAGAAAAATAAAAGAGAGAAACAAAAGGAATGAAAGAAGAAAAGAAATCAAGCGCTACAAGTAACTTGCTTATATATTATATATAATGCTAATGTTAAGTACAGTAATCGATGAAGTTTGAGTTACACTAGCGGTCCAGTCACGGTACGATTACAGGACTTAGTCGCAGAAGCTTCAGATATTATTCGACGCTCCGGAGCGTGACAATTACACACATAAATGTTGACGAGCACTGGACCATATTTTCAAGGCTCAAGATTTTCAAACGTAGACCTGTGAATTCTGCACTATTCTATTGTTTCATTCGGCTTCGTTCACGCTTCACGTGCAATTCTGGTATCTCGAAATCTTGAATATTTTTCTCGAAGCAATCCCGCTTTGTTTATATGAAAAACCTGTTTTCGCCATTGTGCAATTCGATTAACAGTAATATCCTCTGGATTTTTTAGTTTCATTTGGAAGATGCGATTAAATTTCCTGCGACAATACATGATACAAGCGGAACAGAGCGAGTTTTATTTTTGTGTGCAAACGCCAGTTGAAATAAACAGAAGCCACTATGAAATATCACCAAAGATCAACCTTCGAACTCGATCGTTCAATAGCCAACTTACACGCAGAAAAAAGAAGAAACAGACTAACGACCAGTGCTCGCTTTTTTACATACTTCAGCGCAACTGTGTCAATTTCATTGCACAACGCTTTTTTCCAGTTTGCAAAGTCTCGAGTCCGGAGGATGACCATCTGAAGCCACGCCACGCGAGATCGATCTCGACCGAGTGGCGTGAAACATCGCGAAAGGAAAACAAGGACAAAGGTCGACAGGATTCCTCTGCCAAATAAGTTCTCGGGGAAAGAACATACATGTACTCCGGCGGCGCATGGCGGCGTAATTTGCCGATCGGTGGGAATTACTGGCGGCGCAATCGGAAGGCCGTAATCATTTACACCGTCCGGGAGGAGATGATACGAGCCAGCGTAACTGTGTATGCACACACCAGGAGCCTACTGGTGGAAGGCGACGGGGGAACGAGCCAACATTTTTATTCTAATGCGCGTTCAGCGGCTGCGATCGCCAAGGTAAACGCGCTCGGAACGCGCTGGCGAAAATAACAGAGCTCGGTACGTCATGCTGCCTCTCTATCGGCCACGATCCACCATCCACCGTTCTCTGCTGATTGCTTCGCGAGGAAACTGCAACGATACCAACAGCCCTGTTCGGATTGACTTGCGATTAAATTACGAAATGAACTCGGTAGCAGAAAAATCGAAGCGATCGATTCGTCATCTTTCATAGAGATTCTACAAATTTATACAACGATAAAATGCACTTTTTTTTTTTTTAATTAAAAGTTGAACAAGATTTAAATAGACGAGTCTTTTTCAATAGCGTAGATTAGGTGAGATTCTGAATCGCAGTGTACAAATATAAAGTTTGAATCAAGAGCAGCGAATGAATGGGCCTTGTCGTAATGACAAATCGCGACGAGTTTTTCTTCCTGAACATCGTCCAAGAATGAGTATGCGTGTTTCGTTTGCCTCTCTGCGCTAGATCGCGAGGATATTTTAAATCGATTGGTGTGAGCGTCCTCTTCGCGGTTCAATAAACTGATCGTAATAAAGCTGCGATCCTCGCGATTGGCTCCATCTCTTTCCTCTTTCAGAACTTCTCTGTTCAGGATCAAAAGTGTACAACCCGAGAGAAAGTTGGCACAAAGACAATACTTTGTGTTCCAACAGTTCAGCGAACCAAACTTTAACAGCGAAGATAAAAAAAAAAAGGGAAGAAACTGGTTTAATATGAAAGTTTCCACAAGCATTTAGACAAGCATCTCTGATGTATTTATACAATAATTTTTCTTCTCTCCTCGTGTTCATTCACGTTTGCACGTCAACAGAGGCACAAACTTAAACAGAAACTTTCAGTCTCGGGTCTTAAACAAAATTATTGTTAATAAACGCATCCTCTGTTCGTGTACACTCTCGTTGGTGGTTGAATCGGCAAGAAAGTTCTCTCTCCAAGAAAGTTCGTAGAGGCGGCCGGGATGTTTTTCTTCGATCTCTACCAAATAAAGTGTCGAAAGAAAGCTGCGCGCGAACGAAACCGCGGCGTACGTTTAAGAGGAAAATGCCAGCAATGTCCCGACGCGGTTCGCAATGGGTCGATTCCCATAAAAGAGATTGCATACGATTGCACCGCTCCGCTGCGTGCTCTACGACACGGCTAAACGCAAAACTTGTCGTGAGCCGACGACAGGCGTTGAAAATGGGCGCGGCCCCGGAATGTCGATCGTTCGGAACACACCGTGAATTAGAAACGACGACTAGCCGAAATCCAATTGATCCGAGCGGCCATGGAAATTCATGGTGACGCGAAAACCTTACGATTCTTCAAAATTATGTATCATCTACCACTCTTCTGTTATTATACATATTATAATATATAAGATATTTTATATATATAAATAATAATAATAATATATATATAATAAATAAATATATTAATAAATATATAATAAATATAATATATAATGAAATTTTCAAAATTATGCATTATCTACCACTCTTCTGCTATTATACATATTATTATATATTATATTGTATTATAAAATTTTCAAAATTATGCATTGTCTATCACTCTTCTGCTATTATACATATTATTATATATTATATTGTATTATAAAATTTTCAAAATTATGCATTATCTACCACTCTTCTGCTATTATATATATATATATTATAATATATAAAATATATATGTATATAATATCATATATATAATAATAATAATAATAATAATATAAAATTGCATTAAAGAAATCTTTCTAAATGCAATTCATCGTATTAGTATATTTATATTCATATCGTACATCGCGTTACGGCATTTACATCGAAATTGATTAAGTTCAATTAAGGCACATTTAATCCCGTCAGCTGAAACTCCACGAGACTTGAATCATTATATGAGACGGGAGATTAAAGACTACATACAATTGGAGTCATTAGTTCGGACGCAGTAGCGTGACAAATGAGAACAACTTCCATCCTTTGATCGATTCTCAAACTGGTGGCAAACGTAATAGAGAAGGAACAATTTCTTAGAATCTTGGGAAGATTATGTTTAGACTTTAATGGAGTGTGCTCGTTGGATGCGAGTTGCACGGAAGAACGGTACCGCCCGCTATAAACGCAACACGGCCTTCCCGTGGAATATTTCACGAAAGCTTCGTGAGAATTTCTTCCACTCAACAGCCACTCAACGCCCCCGAGGATGAACTTGACCTTCGACCCGAACATTCACCTGCGACAAGGACGACAGAAACTGGAGAGATTTCACTTCCGGCCTGTTGCTTCGCAAATCGTATCCGAATCGACGCGAGTTTCTCGCGACGATCAACATTGTTGAAACGTTTGGGAAAAAGAATTAGACATTTGCGAAGCTTCGTCCAGCGCAATTTGTATATTTTCGTTGAGGGGTCGAAGCAATTAAAAAATGTATGCGAGCAACGGAACACTTAGTTTTAAATACGTTTGTCACGATTCATCTGGATAATTTATCATTAATTAACGGTGTTTCTTTGCTATTGGGAATGATCATCGGTACATTTTCTTTTCATGCTAAAAGTTCAAAAATCTTAATTAAATCTTAATTAGAGATTAATCTCTACGGGACAACGTTCCACGTTGGAATTCGTCTCGCGAGGAATGTTGACTGTATCCGGGATGATACGTTCGACGATACAATATTTCTACTACGAAAATATCGTCAAATATTCGTAGAACGTAAAACTGTTCGAGGATCGTGTTTCAAAACATACGGAAGCACGAAGATTTTCGCAAAAGTTATTTTTAATTCTTTAGAAGAAAAAAAAAAAAAAAAATGAAACGTGAAAGACTTTATTAGCAAAGAAAAAAACTTTAGGAAAATATATCAACTTGTGTGATGTTGACTTATGATTCTATATATACGATATTTGATATGTAACCGAATTATCCATAAAACGCGTAGGATACGAACGAGCACAACGTCGTGGCATTCCAAATATTGAACGTAAGAACTCGGGACTTTCCGAGTGGAATAAATAGTACAAAAAAAAAAAAAAAAAAAAGAAAACAAATTGATCTGTAGATTCGAACGACGAACCTGGATTTGGGCGCGCTTGACCTCGGTGTAGAGCCAGTTGTCCGTAGAAAAGGCGATCGCCAGGAGGCCAGTGGCAATGATACCGGTTATGGTCGCGAGGGACAGCGTCACCGCGGAACAGGGCATCTTGGTATCCTCTTCTTCTTCTTCTTCTTTTCTTCTTTTTCTTCTTCTTCTTCTTCTTCTTCCTCTTCTTTTTCTTCTCTATTTTCCGTCTATTTCCTTACTGAAATCGGATTTCACACCGATTGGTATTACGTTCACCTCACACGGCACCACTGCAAGCTACGATACTGAGAAACAGGTACTCGCCGTCGTCCTCGAGGCTCTCCAGCATCCGTGGAAACGTGAATCACGAAACAGGTCACGAAAACCAGGTTTAAAAACGAATTGGTTGGTCCCGTTGGAGATGAGAAGCCTTTCGACTCGATCGAACGAGAGAATGCCTTAGACGATACGAAGAGGAAGAAGAAGAGGATCGGATACTCGGCGATCGACGATGGCAACGTCCTTCAGGGTGCACGATACTCCGCGATACACATTACTACCATTCTCTCCTACAACAACGACACTAACGGCTCGACTCGAGCTTGGAGAAAAGCTGAGAGCCCGAGCCAAGGAGAGAGAATCGGACTCTCAGGTGGGGATGGATGTAGCCTCAAGCAGGTATGTTACCTGTGTTTTACCTTCAGCGGTGCTCAACGCGCCGCGTTCTTCGCTTCTTTTCTACACAACCGATTGATCTTTCGCTACCATCCGCAGCGGATAATAACACAGCCAGACGCGGATGGATTCTCTGGAAATGGAGTTTTCTACTGTCGAGCAGGTTCGAACGATCAAACGAGAGTCGAATTTTTCGCCAACTATGTTGCTGTACAACGGAACGTGGTTCTCTTTCGGAGTTCTCATTTTCGGAGATTTCAATGCCTGCGTTTTCTTTGTAGCGTCGTAACGCTGGAAAGTGGCAAATAACAATTAATTATTAGATTATTACGATGCTTGAAAATTTACGCTCGCGATGAGTTTTTGCATTGAACAAGCAACGAGATTAATGAATATCGCAGTCACGGATGCACGAAAATCAAAAGAATTTTAGTAAATGAGAACAATTTCTCAGTTGTGGCTGTCTGTTTGCTTTCATAAAACATTCCTTCTTTGTTCCCTTACGAGATAATCTCACCACGGTGAGACGAGACCAAACGCCAGGGGAAAAGCGTGGAATTCCTTTCATTTTACAAACAAATCGCGAATTCCTTGTCCCTTGTCATTCCAATTGATCACTCCGATGTCGCGATATTCATCTTTTTGACTGATTTTTTTAGTCTTCGATTAGTATCACGGGTGTACGTAGAAAATATTTCGGTGAGAAATGTGAGAGACATCCGCAGATCGTACGATGTATATGGATAAATTATCTAATATTTATCACGTAATAATAGAATATATTTGTTGTAGAATACATGAATATATTCTAAAAAAATAAACAATTGTTAATAATCGAATTTTCACCCATAATGTAAGGTGTGTGATGTACAAAAACGATTGTGTATTTACAGAATTCTTTAACTTAAGGTAGAATTTATGATTAACGAAATAAAAAATAGATGGTACAAATGTATTAATTGAAATTTATTAATGAAGGGTCATATGGTGTGCCCTCGAATGGAGATCCTTTTGCCTCCCACGCTTTCTTCAGTATCTTTTCCATTTTCTGCAAGCGAAGATGTTGATGTTAAAAATTTATTCTTAAACGCACAATCGTAAATTCAGTAACCTTTTACGTGCACTTACAATCTGTTCGCTGGTTGGTTTACCCAAAAGCTTCTGTTGATGGTTCCACATTAATTCTTGTACTTTCATTTGTTCCTCTGCTCCCATTTCATCCAAATTCCTTGAACAGTCTATTTTAGCTAAATCAATTTTTGGTTCACCGACGATCAATGCTTCCCACCATCTTTCTGAAGCTTTTTCAAGATGAATCTACAATAATACCATGCGATTTACACATATTAATTTACTATTTACCCTGTTAAAATGCTATTTATTAAGATGTATTAACTAACATTAATATGTTGTTCAGGCACTATGCTCCATACTGACTCGTCTTTTCGAACTTTAAAGCACAATTTCCCCTTAAAAATTGTAGTCCATACAAAATACCGACATTCCTCTACTTCCTGATTTTGTTCAACTCTCGATGTCCTTGCTTCTATTTTAATTTCTTTTGAATCAATATGAACTCTCAAGTCTTTTGCTGTTTTTATGCAACTAGGTAGCTTTACCAGCACATCTATATCACTAATAGTTTGCGACCACGTATAATTTTCCCTCACTGCACCATTGTAACTATCAGATGACCTATCTCTTTGAATTAAATAACCAAGTTGATTTACGTTTTCTCTGTACGTTTCAATTTCTACTTCATGGTCAACTTGTGGAATAACGGTATCCTCTTCTATTGTCATCGATTCATCCTGTTCTTTATCGCTATTTTGGACAACAATATCCTGCGTGATCGGAGGATCTGTTCCACTGGGAAATTTGGAGATATTCTTCCATTTTTGAAAACTATATAAAACAAGATTTTCTATCGTACCAGCTGGAAATCCAAGTTTTGGGTCTGGCCCGGATTCAACATAAAAATCTGTACTGCAAATTACAAGAAAATTTGAACGTTATGAAAACATGATATGTACATTTTTATTACGATAAATTTATTTACCATCTGTACAAAAATCCGAAAAATGCATCTAAAAAGTTTGTAATATCTCTCTCTTCTTGTAAAATTTGCAAAAACGCTTGATCATGGATAGAACACATTGTGGAATCCTCTGAGTGATTTTTAACGTTTCCTAAGTGACTTTTAACGATCGTCTCATTTATAGGTTATGTTAAGTATTCTTTGTTAAAAACATTTTATTCATCGTATGCGTATCACTATTTCGGGAATTATTGGTCGTATCTTGTCTAAACTAGAAAATTTCCGTCGTATTGCAACAAAAAAGCTATTAATGCTTCTTTCTAATTCTAGATTCTCTATTTTTTTCTTCGTGTGTACACTATGTCATTGAATCGAATGACAAGTGGCATGAATTTATCATAAGCGCCCTCTTTGATATGTCGCTTGAATCAGTTCTTTGTTTAGATGTTCCAACACGTTTTGAGAGTAGCGATGTTGATCAAAGCTGTGATCAAAGATAGAATTATATGGGATCATATTTTCAATTAGTGTTTCACCAAACTCGAAAAAAAATCAGAATTTTTCTTATGCTCTCTTACTCTGCTTACTAAAGTAGGAATTATATTCAACCACAGACGAGGTACTTACAAAACAGGTTTATCCTGTATCTCATCTGTGATGAAATAATCATGGTATTGACTAAGAACAGAATAGACTTGATATATTGCAGCTTTCAAATTTGATTCCGAACTTTCTTTCCATTTAATCTACAAAAATTTACGAATTCTACCTAACAGATTTGAATGGCTTCGCTTTGTAATTACAAAATGTAAAGAACTTTACGTTAAGTAGCATTCCTTGTCTTCAATTATATCCAAACTTAATTTTGATTCAAGTTTCAAATGTAATTTACGAGAAATGACGTTTCGCATTCAAAATTTGCAGATCTTTATTTCTGAATTGCATGATGGTCAAATGGAAAACTTAGGCTCTAGTTAAAAAAGAAACGCAATTTGTAAAAGAATCGCAAATTAATAATTCGCAAATTAATCCTGTAAATTTTTTTTCATAAGTCAAATGAAAATTTAATCGATTCATAGCATCACACAGCGATAAAATGTAGAATTAATCGCTATTATTGTCCTTGTCGCATATTATCTTATGTGCATTTTAGATAATTAGCTCGTCTGTGCAAGTAAATAAAAACTATGATAGGAATGAGCTATGTATTGTTATTTAATGATTAAATTGAAAGGATCTAAATGTTTCGATAGACAACAGTATCTGATTTAATCCTAATAGATACTTTCCAATAGGTGACAGCACTTCACAGAAAAATCATTGAATGTCAAGTTTATTTTTCACCTTGTCTGTGATAGTGACAAAAAAGACTATGTACAAGTAGTTTAAAATATGACAAAAAGCATTACTACAAAAGTAAAAGTAAATTCTACTCATATTTTTTAAACTAAATAACTTTACAGAAAAGACATTCTGCAATTTTTTAACCTCTTCTCTCAAGTGAACTAACGTCTAAATTTACTTCATTATATATTTAAATTATATAAAATTGTTGTTCTTACAATGACTGATTTACCCGTTTTCACTTCAGAAGTTGCAAAAGGTACATTTGAAAATTCGTAATAATATCGTAATACTGTTAGTATGTCTTTTTAAAGATTCATATAAATAAAATTAATTGTTTTCAGCTGTTTTAACCGACATTCTAACAACATTGAACACCCCGGAAAATACTCAAAAGCTTGCAGAAGCTAAGGAAAACTCCGGAAATGAAATGCTGAAAATGATGCAGTTTGTTTTTCCAATTGTTGTACAAATTCAAATGGACGTTATCAAAAACTATGGTTTTCCAGAAGGTCGGGAAGGTAAAGGACTCAACTGTATTTCATTTCTGTAATCAAAATTGATCGCATTGTTTAATATAATTTATTGTTTTCGTTTCTTTTTTTTATTTTTAGGTACAGTACAATTTGCACAATTACTCAGAACTTTAGAAAGGGAAGATCCTGAAATAGCACAGTTACATAGTCAAGTTCGATCACATTTCCTTCCCCCTGTTACTATAAGTTCTTCAACTGAAGCATCTCTCTAAAATAAAATAACTTTTTTGTGCGTTCACACAGATATTTCATTTTGTACTTTCTCTTTCCCTACATAAAAAACAGAAGTCATTTAACTTACTGCTTTAATTTCGTAAGAAATTTAAATTTATTTTTACATTCTGATATATTATTAGTTAGAATTTTTTGCAGAAAAAGATATCAAGGGATCTTCAAATTAAATATTTAATCAGAAAAATTAAAAATTTTTACATTTATTTGTATAATAATAATAATAATAATAATAATAATAATAATAATATAATCTACTAAAATATATCATTTCATTTATAAATGTTCATTGAATTTTTTCTGCACTTACACCAATTCTAGAAAATAAACAGTGTTCCATTGTTCGCGTAAAAATGAAGCTGGTACATTGTATTAGATACATATAGAAAAATAAGATATTTTTGTTAATTAAAACAAATGCTGGTACATTCATTAAACACGACGAACAGTGCTTTTTCTACAAAAGCAGTGACTACAGATCATTGAGTCGATGCTTCTTTCAAATCCTGAATTAAGTGAGATTAAATTTTACCATATAATTCTAACTTCATCATTTCGCGAACATCTGGATACATATGCGTTAAATATACAATTTCAATCATATAAGCAAGTATGTTGAAAATGCATAATGAAATAAAATTATTAATTTAATTAAGAATAATACAATGGAATTATTTAAGCGATAATTACTCAACAAAATTTTAATTTTGCAACTCATATCTAATTTACTTAGGATAAGCAGACAAATATAGTTCCCCTTTGTCAATCGTTAAATGTACGAAACCGTTTCTTTGTAAAAATTGTAAAAATTGTAAAATGCATGAATATTCTTAAAAAGGGAATGCCGATTGACAATACGACTACCAGCAATGTAGCTTTCTTTTTAAAAAATTGTTAATAAATATATTATTATCATCTTAAGGAAGTTATTTTTATTTTATGGAATTGCAGCGATAGTCGTCGATGTGAAAGATATTCATAACATATAAAACAATAAACCCGGCAACAATTTCCTCAAAGACTATAATAACTAAGACGTTAAAAAACAGTTTCGGGTTTTATTTAGAATATTCTACACGTAAAAGACTTGACAATTGGGGAACGATATGCTATTATAACATATTTACAATTTTCTTTTTTCTTTTTATATAAATCAAGGTACAATTGTAAATTGTTGTCACGTACAAAGAAAGCTAATGCACTTTACATTATTCTTCATTATCAGATCATGTTGGTTCATTAAATTTGACAGTCGAAGAAATAAAGACACCGCGTTAGACATTTTCTTTGAAAAGTTTCTAAAACACCTACAGAAACCAACATAAGATTTTGCGAAAGTCCTCGTAAAACAGTAAAACGCACTGATTTATCATTAACAGGAAAATGCATATTAGCTACAGCTGTGTTTGGTTTTCTGCGGTGCACGAAGCCTATGCAAATATTTTCGGTGATTATTCAAACCAAACGGTTAAAATTTCACAACTAAATTCAAATTGTATATACGTATGTACTTTAACAATATTAGAAGATGATATAATTACTTTTGCAGCCATAAAACTGCACAACTGTCTCATCTGCAAATAAATCAAGATATTCAATCAAGTAATCAATTAGCAAAAGACATTGTGTTGTTAGAATACATATCTCTTTTTGCAAGATGAGTATAAAAGGCATGCTATGACACCAATATTTTCACGAACCACAATGCACGTCATATTAAGCGTATAACATAAATTGAAGAACCCTGTTCGATATAATATACTTCTGCAAATCACGATTACAGTCTCACGATCTCGTTAGCTGTAGAAAAGCAGTATATAAATACAAAATAAAGGAAATGATCGTGATATCAATGTTATTTTATAGTCTACAGCACAATGAAAATTTTAGTCAATGATTTCCTATGACCAATTCGAGTTGCACTTAAAAAATATACTACAAATGGAAAAAGTCTTTATAAAATTTCTTATACCTTGGGACCGCTTAAATGTTTGATATCGAAGTCACTACTCTTGTAACCTTATATTTCATTTATTATATATTACCTTCTCTTTTCAGATAGTTCCTCCTTCATCGTTAGTATGCAATAAAATACAAATAGTAAAATTATAGTAGACACAAATATTTTTGCACAGTGAAGAAAAATATGTAGAGAAATATTTTGTAAATTTTTCTCAATTATCACGTTGAAATAAATATCAATGTCAGCTATGTTTTTATGGACATAGTTGCATTATCCAGCATCAGTCCAAACAGATTAAGCAAATTAGACATTTTCAAGTCTTTATTTGTTACCAAAGATTGGAAAAGTAAGACTAAAATGTTCAAATACTTTACTTTGATTCGACACTGTTTGTTATCCATTTGTTATTTGTTATCTTGAAATAAAGTAACTTCATAAAGAGCAAGAAACTTATACCGTACAGGGTTACCGCTAAAAATCTCGAATACTTTTTAGACCACAGTGCTCTTGATTTTCGACTGACACCTTCGACAATAGTCACCAAGTTACGAGAGGAACGGATTCGCTGTAGTAGTTGTATTCGCTGCCCAAGGATCTTGTCGAATCTGATTAATTGTAGGACGGGGCGGTGGTGTTGCCGTCGCAAACGGATTTGCCGAGTATGACATGGTCGCTGTAAATTTTTATTAATATTAATTTAAATCGTTAAATGCGTTAAACGGTTAACATATTCCATGCTGTATTTTAACGATTATATCAAATACTGATGCAAACAAATCAAAAATATAAACAAACAACTTTTGTTTCTAATATGTCTATGAAACACACAATTTGAACGGAATATGGAAATAAAAATATGAAAACAATGTGGCACGGAATGTGTTAAACTAGTCAGAAAATTTTGTTTCACAATATATATCATAACCTTCTTAATATATCATCATTTTTTTACTGAAAATAAAATCCATTTCAAATATGAGTTCAATACCATACTTGAACACAATATCTGAATCATGCATTCATGCAATATTGTTCACCATCTTGAAAATACTCACGAATTTACTTCCAATGAAACGCTATTTTGCGAACAAAATATATATGAAGCTTGGAATATATTCAATTAAAACCATAACAACATAGTCAAATTGTAATGTGGTAATTTTTTTTAAATAAACGATGATATATATGTATATACATACAATAAATTTTATAAGTTTCACCATTTGTATTTTAAAATTAATTTTTAATTTGTATTTCAAAATTTTTTGTACTGTGTATGACATTCCAGATGAAACGTTACCTGCAGGTGTGGGTGTTGTTGATTTGATCGCAGAGGTACTGACAAGATTATCAAGATTAACAAGAGCAGAGTTTTCTCCGAGGAACGACTGTGGTGTTTTTTTAACAGCTCCAGTACTAGTGGGAAGAGTTTCCGCTATGCTCCCTAAATCAAACGGATCTGGCGACACTGTATTTACTGCAATCAATAAGAAGAATAAATTATTATATAGCGATTAAATAAAAAAGAATGACAAAATTGATTGATAAATACCGTTATTCGTAGTTTGCAGACTAGATCCTGCAGGCTTATTCCTGTTAGTAATTACATCAAATTCATCTAAATCGCTCAATGGACTGGTTGCAGAACTATTTTGATTTCCAATGGAGAAATTGTTAAGACTAGGACCAGTACCGTTGAAATCGTTACTAGTTGTATTGAATGTAGCGCTTGAAGTTGTAGGCAAATTAAAGCCTATATTCTGCGGCGATTGTGCCGCAAAACCAATATTTTGTGTTAAGGTAGGATTGTTAAAAGATGGAGAAGTAGATGTCATACCTTCTCGATTGATCTAAATAATTTAAGACAAGTGTATTAATATACATATGCATATATGTGTATGTAAATAAATCAATAAATCAATAATCCCGTGTTACAGAAGATAGTTAAAGAAATGAACACTTTACCGATTTTTTATTTGTATCAGCATCAATAGTAGCAGTGGTAGTAGAAGGTACTGGCGACCAAGGATCCGTGTTTGGTGAAGTTGTAACTGTTACGGGTGATGATGGAGGTGCTCGCCACGGATCAACTGCAGCAGCTAACATCGAATTACGAATTAATCACAAATTAAATTAAAGTGATTTCGTAAATATTAAAATTCTTTTTCAATAAATTTTACTTGGTCTTTGCGATGAGACGGGAGTCCATGGATCTATTGCAGGTGACGTACTGCTTGTCGTAGGAACGGTCCACGGATCGTTTTGTGGCTACATAATAAAGAAGAATACGTAAATTTGAAGTTTAACTTTTAATAAATTTTTTAATGATTTGTCAATACATAATGTTTATTGCGTTACTCGAACATACCTTATACAGATAAAACTGAGATAAATCCAAAGACTGTTGTGTAACATGCAAATGTGGCGTTTATCATGCAATAAGCAAATATATAAATTTAACTAAATATAAAATAAACATACTTGAGGTCTGGGCGGAGGCGGTGTAATTGGTATACCCCAAGGATCGGTTTTTACATTATATCCGCATGCTTCTTCTAAGTTTACATCCAATAAATCTAGCATGTGACTTTGTTTCTCAGTTTGCGGCGCTCTAAAATTAATATATTTTTTTAGGTAAAATGAATTTTGCGATAACTGGAAAATATATTAAATCTAATATGATTTTTACTGACTTAAAATCTTGCTGACTTTGACTAAGAGCTAATTGCAATCTGACATCATCACTACGTCTTCTTTGTTCTTCTTGTTCTGCCTCTTCTCTTGACATTGCCAAAGCTAATTGTAACTGTAATTCCTCTTCACCTACTGTTTGTGGTCTTGCAGCTTCTAATTCAGCTATGAAAGACATATGAATTATAATCAATCATGATCATATCTATGAACGATATATATTTATATTTATAATATAATACTATACTATATATATTTATATTTATATTATAATAATATATAAATACATATATTTATATATTAGCAAAAAAAAAAAAAAAAATTATGAGCATTTACTCGTACGTCTAGTTGTAGTTTCAGATCCCAAGCGACATGGTTCCCAATCCTGAAACTGAACAAGAAAGAAAACATTTTATTTTAAAATATATGTTTTCATATTATTAAACCTTTAATTTTCGTATCAATGCATATATTTAATATCGTATCAATGTACTTACATCACTGCTTACAGGTGACATAGTGTCTAATCCATCACTACCAAACCCACTAACTGATTGTGCAAATCTTTCTTTTGCTTTCAATGCTCTAGCTCTTTCATTTCTTAATCTTTCATCGTCTTTTAATAAGGCCACTAGTTGCTTAGCTTTTTCTCTAACATTGACTCCTTGATCCTTAGATCCTTCCATATATTGGAAATCTGAATGAAGAAAAGCAAAAACATTTTATACTGATTTATATACCACAAACTACAAAATTATTTACCTTTTAAAGTCTCAATGGCAAAAATATTTTCTTTACACTGCTGTGCAACTTTTTCAGTGCCTGTTTTAATGAGATATTCTAGAAGAACTAAAGCTTTGTACACATGTCGCCAATTTTTACCATGATCATTTAATCTTTTCCATAACATTTGCATAATCTCAGTAAAAGCCACAACATTATATGTTAAATCAGCAATTTCTGCCATAAGAGTACTGCTTGGACCCCAAGGATCATTACTGGTGGCTTTGCGTACAGCTTTCTGCATACATAATATTTCATTTTTAAAACAATGCATTTATGTAATGAATAAAATATTGTTTATTTACCTGAGCATTGCTATAGTTATGGGCAAGATTAACAATATCTCGCCTGATACCTGCCAAATTCACCTGCATGACGTCTTGACCTTGTCTTCTCATCTAAAAAATTACCACTGTATATCATAAGCAAGTAGTAAAATTCCTATTTCTTTTAGAAGCCCATACTTATCATCACATATATTCACATTTTCATCAGTTACATTTAATATATGCTAATAATTTCCAATGTAACTGAAATATATGAATGCAGTTATGTTTATATAGAAAAAATTATTTTAAATAATTTTGGCAATAAATATGGGCAATCACTTAATACCAAAGCCATGCGACTAAATATGCATTAGTAAGAAAACAAGAAACTTATAGTAAAGTTCTTATGTTACTCTACTTTTACCAAATCAACATTACCACTTTCTATTTGGTTAGTAATAAGATGGATGAAAGTAGCTAAAGTAAAAGTATGATTGATATAAAAGTAAATAAATCCTCTTCAGTATTGTTCTTTTTCTTTTTAGCATTATTTGGTATTACTATATAATTTGCAAATTACAAACAAAATATTGTAAAATAATATGATGTATTAAGCCTTAAAGCAGATTAATTTCTTTTTGAGATGTGCCTATATAAATGTACTCAAGATAAACAATTTCTTCAAACTAAATCAGTACATTTTATATTATATATTTATGTACATTAAATTGTAATTTCTATTATCATAATCTCTGTTTAAAAAAGAAAAATTTTACCACAGCCAGTCAAGCTTCCTTATAAGAAACATGTTAAGAAACATTAAAAAATTGTTTTTATAATAAAATTAACATTGATGATTTTTCAAATAATTTAATGCAATACTGACTTGCATAATGTGCAGAACTTATCATTATTACATAATCCCACAAAAAATAAAACATGAATGATTCCAAATATGTGCGATAATTGTATTACTAAATACTATAATCCTGGTATTTTTTTACATATACAGGATGTTATATCCTATTATAATTATTTCTATAATTTCTAAATTACAAGAATACATAAGATTCTTTAAAAGTATATATATCTATAACAGTTTGCAATTTTTCAATTTTTATCAACACCCTGTATATCATTTATTAATGTAGTTTACAAAACATTTAACTACATTATTCGTTCTTTAAACATTTTCTAACAATATGATTGATTAGTAAAGTATTAACAATTGTTATTTTGTTAACTATGGCCAGTTAATGAAATTTACCTTCTGCATAGCCATTGTTGGCATATGAAATATGGCTGGGGTCGTTGATGAAGCTAGTTCTTGTCCACAAATATAGAAAACTCCCAAATCACAATAAAATCCTAGACTATTAGATAGTTTAATAAATAAATAAGAAATATTTGTTACATTTACCTGTCAATGATGAATGAATTTTTATTTAATATAAAAATGATAATACAATTAACTAAGAGCATTTTGAGTGGAACTTTAATAATATTACTAGTTATTATGCAAATAAATATTGCACAGAATACTGCATTCTTTATTTTTCTAATGTAATACATACTATAAGCATATGAATCTAAATGAAATATATATGTAACAATTTAATACACAATACTAATAAATTATATTATAAATTTTGTACTGTACATATCATATTAATATATTTAAGGATCATTTATGAACTAAATAGGCACAACTCATGGTGATCAGTATACAAAATACAATTTTGTTTAGTTGAGAATATTTTTTTAAGTACTATGTACAGGGCATATCGCTGAAGTGTTACAGAAATATTTCATAAAAAAAATAATAAAATTTTATTCTATGAATATTTAACCTTACTATCGCTATAATAATACGAAAAGGGAGCCAATAAAAATATTTTGTTTAACTAGAGAGGAAAATGTTACTATTAGTAAAATATTATACCACATGTTAAAAAATTTAATAAAAAAAAAGATAATCTTGGAAAAAAAAGAAATATAAGGTTAAAAACTTATGAACTTACTCAATTCCTTTATAGACAAATGCAATATTATAAAGAAAATAATATTTCAAATTAATTAAGAGATTAAATGAAAACTGGAATTTGGATAGTTTATAGTTTATATTTAAAACGGTCATAGGCTTTTTGAATACAAGCCATGCCCTTTCAATAAAGCATTCTGATATGAAATTACAGTTGCAGTTTTTGTGCAATATTAATAAGATTTATTCAATTATTTTGGAAATATGAAACATTTGATTAATAATTGAAACTACTTTCTCTTTTTAATAGTAGTACCTTTTGCAAGCATTTTAATAAAGGAAATTGGAATAGAAATCAAAGAAGTTTTATATCGAAAGAAAAGGAATTTGAACCGAACTACCTTTTTAAAAAAAATGATAGATTACATGCAACAATGAAATGGAATAAAATTACTCACATTGATAGATAGGAGGATTCAAATTTTCCTTCAAAAAAGCCTTGTTATTAAACTGAAAAATAAGAAAATGTCTTTATCTCTTTTCAATGTCACTATGTATCTTATCTTATCGTTACATACGTACAATAGATTTTCTACAAAATGGCATTAATATATTTATTTTCAAAAATTTTGTAGGGTTATATAGAAAAACATAGAACTGATTTCATTTAATACAGGTGTTTAGAAAAAAAAAAACAATTGGTTACCATCATAGTATATATTAATATGACACATATATTGTGTATGCTCAGGATTATCATTGTATGGTTTCTTTAAGGCAGCTAAAATATATTATATCTACCAATGACTGTGGAACTATTGATTTTCATTTCCTTTGTCTTATAATTTTTAATTCGCAACAAACGAACAATAACGAATTTAGTAGAAAAGAAAATATAGAAAGCCATAATTAAATCTAAAAAATTATCGACATTCGCGACAACTGTATTTTTGTAAATATTAACTCATGACATTCAACACGATAGCTCGATACATGTATCCTTCTCTCTACTTAGGTCTGCATAAATTATTTCTTTGTCTCGCAAAACATTCGTTATTTCATTCTTCGTTGTAGGCGTTATTGTTTGAAAGCGCAAATTAATCGAAACGTCGGACATCGGTGACGTACATATGTGTATTGTACGTACACAAAATGACAAATCACACACTGCACAAATATTAAACAGGTGATTCTTTCTCGGACATATCTAAACATGTACAATACGACTATTCTTCAGATGTAACTAACACAATAGATATATATATATACGCTGATTAGGTGCAAGATTAATCCAAGAAAATGCGTGATATGTCAATTTCGAAACTATCTATGCTTTCTCATGCTCGGGCGTGACTTCATCGTAATACCGCATTTTTTTTCCCCCCCGATTCGTTCCGTGTACACACCGTACAACGTTCGTTAATATAGAACAAAATGAAGGAAACGAATTAACGAGTAAAAACACATCGCGGTTAGAACGTTTAAGAACACTGTAGTACGTGAGACAGGATCGAAACTTATTCTACAGACTATACCACTTGTAAGTCACTTGTACTCGTGACAATCTGTTCCTAAACAAAAAAA